AGTTTAAAAAACTAAAAAGTACATGCTTTTATTGCAGATCGAACTAAAAAATGAAAAATAAGTTGTAGTTTAAAAAAACTATAAAAACGCTTTTATAGTGTGTGTGTGTGTGTGTGTGTGTGTGTGTGTGTGTGTGTGTGTGTGTGTGTGTGTGTGTGTGTGTGTGTGTGTGTGTGTGTGTGTGTGTGTGTGTGTGTGTGTGTGTGTGTGTGTGTGTGTGTGTGTGTGTGTGTGTGTGTGTGTGTGTGTGTGTGTGTGTGTGTGTGTGTGTGTGTGTGTGTGTGTGTGTGTGTGTGTGTGTGTGTGTGTGTGTGTGTGTGTGTGTGTGTGTGTGTGTGTGTGTGTGTGTGTGTGTGTGTGTGTGTGTGTGTGTGTGTGTGTGTGTGTGTGTGTGTGTGTGTGTGTGTGTGTGTGTGTGTGGTAAAAGCGTGTGGCGTGCTTTGAACTACATTTTTACACTAACTTAGCATTCGGGATAGAACTAGTAAGAAGTTATAACAATTGATATAGAGCACCTCACGCTTTTACCGTAATGACATATATATATATATATATATATATATATATATATATATATATATATATAACTTCTTCGTTAATCATTTTATTCTTATATTAAGAATTTTTCCTTACTTTTTAGTTCGATTCACTATAAAAGGTTGTTTTTTAGTTTGTTTTTTTAAATCATAACCTATTCCTCTTCGTGATCTTCTGAAAAAGCAAGCTAGAAAATGCATAATTTTTATGTGAATTTTATTTCCAACTAATAGGTATTTTAAGAGCAATTTTTTCTCGTTATAACAAATGTTTCAAAATTAATTTCATAGTTGGTAACAGCAGACATGAATGGTGATACGAATAAACGTTCTATATTACATATGAGTTTTGTATATTATTCAATTTTCTTTAACAAAGGGTTAGATTTTTTTAATCTAATTTTTTTTCTTATACTATCACCTTTATGGTCAATTTTAACAAATTTAATGTTGTTTTCTTTATTTTTAAATATTAATAATGCATCTTATTCGAAATATTTCTAAAGCTCTTTCAGATCGTATGTAGTGTAAAAGGGATTTTTATTTTTATGAAACGTTATTATCGCATTATATCACATTTATCAAAAACTTCATTGTGTTATTGTTGTTATTATTATTACATAACACAAAAAGCTATTATTTTTTTGCAGCTTTCATATTGTATTATTTTGAATAAAAAATCGGTGTATTTATCGAAGATTGTTTCATATTTAAAGAAAAATACTCTTACAAATTGGGAAGTTATTCAAAAAATAATTTCATCAATGAAGCAATTATGAAAATGAAATTAGTATGCCTGAATTTGACAAATAATTACCCGATCTGATTTTCAAATGTGATCAGAATTTTCCTTGAAAGTTATTTCGATAATTAATGTAGCTTTACATGAACAGTTGTATTTATATACGTTAGATATTTATTCCTTTCTGACGAAAGATAAAAATGAAGCCTAGTTCTAGAAAAAGTAAGCATAAAATAACCTATAACAATACTCGAAATTTCAGTTGATTAAAAACTTATTTACTTCTTTAAGTTTTTGTGAATATGACTAAGAGAAATATTTTGTAAAAATACGTTTTTTAAGAAATCTTAATTTTGTTTGAGTTAGCCTCTAATAATTAACTTACTTATGTAAGAAATATAAAAGTATGACCGATATATTAATACAGATTGATAAAAGATCAAAGATCAAATAAAATATTTAGTAATAATAAAATGAAAGAAAAGTGCACCAAAAATTATTATACTACTTAATTTTTAGAGGTAAATTATGTATATTACCTTAAAATTCTCAGATTTTATCAATTTTTTTTATTTAACATCAGACGAACTTTGAATCGATTTATTTTTATTGAAATTGTGTCGTAAGAATATGGCAATATTAACAATAAAAGACATAACTGCAATATACTGAAAAAAACAGATTACGAAATATTGCAACCCCCCATTATTCTAAATTCACGCAAACGGAATAAAAGTAGCTAAGCGCCATAAGAAACGTGAAATTATACTGACTAAGAATTATCCTTAATTCTAAAATTATTAAATATGAACAAAAATCTTTTGGCAATGATATCCCCTAATTTTTTTTTAAAACAAAGCAGTATTAGTTGCAAAAAATTTTTCAAAACACAGTGTAAAGTAAAAAGAACCATGCCAATTTTATATATACTATTTCGAAGCAATTATGCCTAATTCATTGAATTTATTATATATTCAGCTTAAACGCCAATCACTCCAAAACACATTCCATTTTTCTTTATTTTACATTTGTTTTTCATTTTAATCATTTTAGTTTTATTTGATTTGCAATTCACAAGCATCTTTGTCTTTTACTTAGTCCTTCTGAAATTCCCACAAGTTGTGTTGAAATTTATTTATTTCTCTATCTCTCTCTGCTGTTTGCATCATTACTAATGAAATGTTTTGATTTAGCAAACAATATTAAAAGTTTTTCCTTTAAATTAAGATTAACTCGATTTTTATAAAAACAGATCCTTCTTATTATTTGTATCAAATTATATCAAAGTAGTTTACAGATTTCCAATATAATAAGAGCTAACTCCATATTTTGGGTCACTTTTTCAAGATGAAGATTTTCGCGATGGTATACTTTGATGTGTCTTTTTGCATCCTTCACCTCAGTCAGTCTCTTGTTATATTTTTATTTTCAGTAAAGCTCATTCACTGAGTTTCATAGCAGTAATGGCTTATAAATGTGTTTAGTGCTGAAATTTTGACACACTTTTTTCGAAAAATCGGTTTCAGTGGTATAAGGGTAGCGTGCCCTCTTCCGAAGCCTGTGGGTTCAACCCCGGCAGGAGTCGATAGATTTTCTGGATGCCAAAATCGTGGTCACGCATATCAAATGATTATGTGGCATGTAAAAGATCCCTTGAGTATCCATTTGCCTCTGGAACTCTCGACGAATTAAATCGTGGCAATATTTAGCATCCGACAAGAGTTTGGATTGAATAAAATTCAAACTTCCCAATTTGGTAGCGGAAGCCGCCATTAGATGGCGCTATCAATGAAATAGTACCCCCTCTTGGGTACTTGTCATGTCTGCAAATGTTTACTTGCTAACATGCAGCTCGTTGGGGAAAAAAACTTTTTTTCTTTAATCATTGACACAACAGTTATAACTTTTTTTTCTGTTCTGCTGGTTTTGTCGGCGTAAGACATCTTCGGGATTTTAAAATTATATTCCCTGTTTTATTTTATGATTAGATAATAAGCTCCTGAAGGTGCGAAAAACAGCACATCATTATAGACCATTTCGACAAAAACAATACATTTATTCCGATTTTTAGATTAGTTAGCTTAATGGTAAAAGAAACTTTCACACACACACACCCTAATCTGCTTAGCATTTATAAAATTTCATAATTAAATATTCCAGTTTAATTGCTAATAGTTTTAAATTTAAATATTATTTAAATAGTAATTCAATTGTGATGATTTTAATTAATAACAGTAAATACAGTCAATTGTAAGCATTATGCATATTTAGTTTTTGTCTGACGTTAAAATGCTAACTATACAATCAACTATATACGTACCTAATTTATAATATATAAATCAATTTAATTTAATATAGATTTGAGATAAATATTTATGAATTTAATAATAAATAATTATTTATTATTGTAATTAATAAAAAAAACACTTATTATAAAAAAATAATACAAAATATAACGATAACATTTTTTAAAAGACTGAACCAATAAAAAAAACATTTATTGTAAAAGAAAAAATAAACAGAAAAATAACTATAATTTTTTTTGTAAGAGATTGCATGATTTTTATGAATTAAAGACTGATATTATTATAATTCTAAATATAAAAGGATTTATTTTTTTTTATATTTAAGAATCTCATTATCATGCAAAAAAAGAACAATATTTTCACCATTTTTACTCTGATGAAACAAATAGTTAATGTTTTGCCTATTTTCAACGTTTCAATAGAATTTAATTGTGTAATCGAAAAAAAATGCAAGCCCTATTAAATGATCAAGGCTTTTGCTAACTTAAGAATTTGATATTTTAATCTTGTGATATGAGTGTGTATTAATACTTTTGTACTCTGTTAAGAATAACATTCCTTACTCAGGAGATTAAAGATAGATGGAAGACCTCAATTTTTAGTTTGAAAAATTTTATTTGACACTTTTGTGTGTGTAGACTCTAATTATCATGTTCAATCAAAAGATAAAAATAACGTTTGAAATTTCTTACTTTCACCTTCAAATGATACATTTCGTACTAAGGAATCTCTCTTCGTAGAATCATCTTGAAAATAATCTGTGCGGGGTTTGCTTTGAGCAATAGTTTCTTTTTCAACTCGGACCGTTTCGCATTGTCCATTGCGAATTATGATTGATGCAAAGCAACCGATGCAAAAAGTGAAAAATAACATTTCGAATCTAGTTTTTATTAAAGAAAACTACAATCCTTCTTTTCTTACTGTGGTTATATGACTACTCTGTTCTTACCAGACTAGATTTTTCTGTGAAATTGTGTTTATCTCCAGCTGCTATTATCAGTTACTTATCGAATGCGTCTCAAAGGCAAATATATGTTTTATGAGGGTTTTTTATTTCTTACTTTTTATTCTTTCGCTTTCCCGCCAATTTTTTTCCTGTCTGCGACCCGGAGAGATTTATACATTAACAAGAATACATAAAAAAAAAATTAAGTCAATTCCCCCTTAGGTCACAAAGAAAAATTTGATATTAGTTACTTTTTATTAAATAGTTATAATTAACATAAATTGACAGAATCACAATATTAAGTGTCAAAACAGAAAGCGATTTTCCTCGCAATTTTTCACTTTTCTATATAGGGTGTTGAATTATTTTAGTTTGTTTGTTACTATTTACATTCATTAATTAAATTTAAATATTCTAATTAAATAGCATAGTAAAAAGGAATCACACACACACATTATCAGAAATTAGGTCATCCTAGGTGGGATTTAAACCCACGACCTTTGGATTAAAAGTCCAACTGTAACGGTTCTCCTACGTCATTAGTGGGTAAACCAAAATAATGGATAAGATCTCGGGGTAATTTAAAATAATTTTAATGACATAAAACTACACAGTTACAATGGACAGACATTTAGACACAATACAGGTTACACATTTAGAGGAAATAAGGGGAAATTAAATATAATACATAGTCCAGGATTGGACAGCGAGACAAGTAACGTTTACTCATTCAAATCCCAACACTCTCTGGCGGTAATACAGAGCTTCGGTTGGTAATGCTTCCGTTACAAGTACCGCCATCTACATTTCGGTCGTAGTATTAAACCGTGTATTACAGACTCCCCCTCTGGTTTCGTTGACGTCTCGGCTCGGAACCAGGATATAATTCTTTTTTTTTTTTTTTTTGGCGTCGTCTTTTCCTTAAAGGAGCAAAAAATCTGGTGTTTCTTTCTGTTTCAGGTTCTTGATAGTCCTTTAAGGCAGAAACATGGTAAGTTCCAAGGGCTGGGATCTCAAGGTGAGTATGAGGTAAGGACCTTCTCTCTTGGGCACAAGTTTCCTGCTCTTGTTGTTATGATTTATGGGATGAATGTTCACCCAAACTTTGTCACCAGGTTTATAATATTTTCTTCTTCGTCGATCGAAGTTTTCTTTCTGACAATCCTGTTTCTTTACGGGATTCATCCTGTAGGGATACGTTGCTATTGGGGGTTGATCACCCGTGTCAAAACGGTGTTCAATGAAAGGCGTGTGCTATCCCCCTGGTTGGAAATATGCTTCATTTCTGTCCAGGAGTATATTGATTTTTCTTGCCTGTTCTGGACATAGATTTTTACCCTCATCCTTTCGAAGTTCGAATGCGCTGAGTGTTATATCTTCTAATGTCTTCTTGAAGAATTTGTACTGTTTCCGAGGATTTCCGGAAAAGTTCCACCCTGGACGTCAAGGACGATACCAGCTGCATTGAGGAAATCAAGTCCTAGCAAAGTCTTATTTCCTTTGGCATCAGGCAATACTAGAAATTCTGTAGGAATAACTTTGCCTTCAATGTACAGGTCGACGACAGTACTCAGAGTCATAATGGTCTGCCGAATTCCATCAGCCATCATAAATGAAATCCTTTTGTTCGTAAAGGTGACATCATGCTCTTGTAGAAATTTAAACATCTTTTCACCTGCAATGGTATGGGAAGCACCGGTATCAGCACATACAGCAATCTTTTCTCCAAAAATTTTGAGAACCATCATACTTGTGGGATACAAGTTTGAATTCAAGTTAAATAACGTCATACAGTTCACTGCTGTTTCCATTTCATTAGCTCTCGTGCATTTAGGACACTTTGACTTGACGACACCAGGAGTCCCACATCCGTAACACTTTATCGAGTTTCTTCCTTCAGCTTTGTAACTTGGGAATCTAGGTACAGTTCTAGAGGGTCCAGATGAGTGGTATTCATGGGATCCTCCAACAGGTTGATTTTTCTTTAATGGAAAGGGTTTCCTGAATTCTTCTTTCTTCTTGAAAGTCTGATTTGAATTACTTTTCATTCCAGGCCTTTAGGTTGTCATATGCGTCCAACTTCTCAGTCAATTCCAGAGGATCGTTCAAATCCGCCCAAATATCCAAAAAGTGTTCTTTGATATTTTCTGGGGTTTTTCTTTTTATCTGATCAGCAATTATCAGACTTTTAAGTTGGTCAAACGTGGTTATCTTCAACTCTTTGATCCAACCTTCAAAATAAGAACTCAATTCGAAATAAAAGTCTCGCTATGTCGAATCTGGGTTTTTCTTCTGTTGGGAAAAGTACTGCCTAAACCTATCCCCTGTAACTCGAAATCTTTTGAGAAGCATTTCTTTTACCTTTTCATAAATTTGAGCATCCTCTTCGTCTTCTCTTGCGATGAGCTGAGCTATATCAGGTGGCAATGAGCCAATCAGGTATGCTGTCCAAGTTTTTTCAGGGATGTTCAAGAACTTCGCTTGACATTCGAAAATTGTCAAGTATAGACCCATTTCATCTTCTTTCGAATTGAATCTCGGAATAATTCTATTTAACTCAAGCTTTGGGTTTTCTAGCTGTTGGCTTGTAACAGGTGCTTGTGACAGCTTCTGCATTTCACGTTGAATTTTGATTTTTTCCAGATCGAATTCTCTTTCTCGTTGCTGAGCAACAACCACGGTTTTCTGTTTCTTCTCCAGTTCCGCAGCTATTTGCTTTTCTGTTGCAGTACGTTCTTCCACAATGACGCTGAGCACATCTTTGACGAATTCCTCATCATACCTATCACAATTTGTTATGAGATCTTTTAGTTCAATAATTTTGAGATTATCCGACGGAGCCAGACCCAATTCTGTTGCCAACATTCGTAAATCCTCTTTTCTGGACCTTCCCCAAAAAAAGCCATTTTTCGTCACTTTTAGACTATTTCAAAGTTAATTTAGTAAAGTTCAATTAAAGTTAATGAATTAAAGTTCACTCAAAACTGTTAATTCTGTGATCTGAAAATATTATAGTCAAACAATACTTATGTACTTAAAGTTTCCGATACATACAAAAAAAATACTCTGTACAATAATACACTCTTCCTGAATGACAAAAAAATTCTCTTATTTCAAAATGTGCTAATTAATCTTCACATCAATATTAATGAGATTTAAAAAAATGAAACAAATTCTTCAATATCAACTATTTTCTAATTTCGTACTTCAAAATCAAAATAATATTTCAATAATATTCATTATTAATCAAAAGAGTATCAGCAATTAACATGAAATCATTTAAATTAAATCAAAGAAAAATTTCGTTTTCGTTAACTTAAATCAATTGAATTGTTTTTAATCAAAAGCAATTCAAATACGTTTAAATAGAAATACCATTCATAAATTATTTCATCCACTCCGAAATTATCACTATTACAAACTTATTTACACTTAGAAGTACTTGAAATTATTTACCAAAATTTTTTAAATAAAAAGCATAAATGTTTATACTTTGTCAAAACATACAAGTTTTCAAATGTTATAGTAATACTTCGTAATAAATCATGTACTTCACAAAATAATTATTTTTAAATTAGACATAAAAAGTAAAAAAAACATTATGATAAAAATTGCATTCAACTTAAAACTTAATTAAAAGTTTAGTAATCAAACAAGAATCAACGTGAAATTATTTGAATAAATACCAATCGCAATAATTTCTTGGTAACAAAAGTATAAGTATATATATATATATATTAATGGCATAAAATTCTTAATTAGTGAGTAAATATACATTCATAAATAACCTTCAATTAACTTTAATCAGAACAAACAATAGAATGCAAGTTTCGTTTTCAAAAAAGTATTAAGAATACTGACAAATAAATAAGTGAAAATATCACTTAAATTTCAATTACGTTACTATATACTGTAACACACATAATTCATACTAAGAGCAATAATATATAATCACTGTTCTTATACAGAAAAACTGAGTAAGATTATTTAGAATAAACAACACTTATCTGTTCACAGGTTTTCTGGATGAAAACAATATTTATATTCGCAGGGTTGCGAATTCTCTATTTGTTGTCGGGTGACAACGCCTCAACCTAAGTGGAAAAAGCGAGAGAAAGTTGGGAAAATTTGTCGGATCGGCTCGACGTTTGGCGCCAATTTGTAACGGTTCTCCTACGTCATTAGTGGGTAAACCAAAATAATGGATAAGATCTCGGGGTAATTTAAAATAGTTTTAATGACATAAAACTACACAGTTACAATGGACATACATTTAGACACAATACAGGTTACACATTTAGAGGAAATAAGGGGAAATTAAATATAATACATAGTCCAGGATTGGACAGCGAGACAAGTAACGTTTACTCATTCAAATCCCAACTCTCTCTGGCGGTAATACAGAGCTTCGGTCGGTAATGCTTCCGTTACACGTACCGCCATCTACATTTTGGTCGTAGTATTAAACCGTGTGTAGTTATTCATTGCGCTACAGGGACACAACGAACGATTTTCTTTTGTATACATGCGGTTGTGGTATTATTTTTGTTTGTTACTATTTATTCATTTTTTAATTTAATTAATGAATTAATATTTTTTAAAACTGTATTAACATCCAGTGTCTTTATAAGTTTAAAAATACGTCTTTGAACTTGAATGGATGAAAAGAAAGTATTTTATTAGCGATTGAAAATTTGAACAAGATATATATATATATATACTACCCACTACCCACATAACTACACACGGTTTAATACTACGACCGAAATGTAGATGGCGGTACGTGTAACGGAAGCATTACCGACCGAAGCTCTGTATTACCGCCAGAGAGAGTTGGGATTTGAATGAGTAAACGTTACTTGTCTCGCTGTCCAATCCTGGACTATGTATTATATTTAATTTCCCCTTATTAACTACCCACAAAATAGATAAATACAATAATATAAAAAAAAAATTTCAATGTTGTTTAGATCATGAATACCCTTTTAATTTCTTGAGATCTTATATTCATCACAAATACATTAACCGGCTTGCTACTTCGAATTCCAAATCCACCACACAACAATAGGTTTTCAAAGTCAGCATGTTAGTGGTCTTGCTGTGAAGATTATATCATAACACTCATATCACAGTTTACATTTTTTCCTCACACATCTTGAACATCTTACACATTGTTGACAACCAACCAAATTATAGCCTAGCAAATTTACATTTTTGACAATCAACCAATTCAAATTTTACCATATTTGACTGTCGTCATTTTATACTTGTCTTTTCTGGCTGGTATAAAAGTCAGCTCAAAAGATGTGGTTATGTATTTTCGAATTTTTTAACTTAGTGAATAATTGACTTTCATTAATGGCAAGACGCTTGTTTCTCTTCGTGAAAGCTTTGTGAGTAAAGAAATTTTGTTAAATTAATTTTTGAATGATACTTTTCTTATGTAATTGTTTTAGCATTTTTCTACTTTTCTTACATAATTATTTTGTGATTTTGTGATTTTTTTCTGCATTAAGAGTTTTGGGAGAGTTTGTTACATAATAGTAGT